ATGTTTTGAATTGATTCGGCTGTTTGAGCTTAGTCAAACCAGGTGGATCGCTGATGAGCTCAAGGGAAAACAAGAAAAACTCTCATCTTGGATTTGAAACACTTTGATCTAGCTATCAGTCAAGCGCTGCTGGTTGATCTGCGTGGTATCTAGCTGTTTTTACCAGTCAGTCAATAATATATTGCATCATTAGTTTTGTTTTATCTACTGATTATTTGGAATACAACTTCAAGAGGTGTGCTTAAACTATGAAACGTTCTGTTGGAAATCTAAAGTTTTCCTGAACTATTTCACAATCTGTGAAGCCAGTTATTGGGTATGATGCTCTGGGATGCAATCCAATCTATGAATATTTTCAAGGCCTTTCAATCTCTGATGAACTTAAAAGATGTTCATTTATTCCACCTTTAATTTTAAAGATTGTTTGGTGCATATTTCGCCACAGATTAAGTACCTTGTTTGGTATAGACGACTAGATTATGAATCCTTTGATACTGTTTTTTACAAACTTGAGGTTACTTTGAAATCCACTTGATTTTCTCAATAGTACCATGAAGAATATCTGTTGAGTACTTTTTCTGATTCCATATTATGTATATGACTTGTATGACGTGCTTGAAGTGTTTTTCGTAGTGACGTAGAATGCTGTTTCGTCGGTAGAGCTTTTCGGATATTTATTTACTTAAGGAAATTTGATAATGTTCGTTAACTGTTTTATTTGTTATCAATTGATGAGTCCTCCTTAAAAACCACAGGAAACTGAATCTTTTGTGTTTATGGACTATAATGACTTCAAATTCAAACAAATATTGAAGTGTATTTTATATGCATTAAAATATATACTTTATTTTGTCACAGAATTACGTCATAGTAAAGATAAAGTTAAGGTTCAGGATTACTCTGATATATCTACCAGTATTCGATAACGACGTGACAGTAAATGTATTTTGATTTCATTTTAATGGTCATTGAAAAACAAACTTTTATCGTAGTGAGAATTTTCACTTGGACATTTAAAAGACAAAAAAGGGGACTGAGGAAAGGATATTCTTTTCGATAGCTGTAATTTTTATCATAGTACTTTAATCACCACTTCAGATGTGTCAACTAGGAACTACGGCCCACTAGAAACGGTCAGCGGCCTTTATATTTTTGCTTATCTCTGATCTTATATAACTAAAATAGAACTGATAAGTTTGTAAAGTAACTATATCTAATAGTTTCATTCAGATATGGTTCCATTGTTGTAAGTGTAATAGCTAGATTCGCACTTAACTGAATGGCATTGTTTAAGAAGGCTGATTTCATCCTTTAAGATCGTCCACAGCCTACAAATCTTCGGATTAATTTACTCTTGTAATTCGGAATTATGATAATGGAGGCGTATGTCTGCGGAATAGGTAAACATAAATGTCTGAATTAACTCAGAATAATGAGGATTTTAATGTACAACCTAAAAGCCTGATTCTATTATCAGACGGTAAGTGATGACGTAGCTGTCTAGTCCTAAATGTGTTTGTCAGTTCATCAAGCGTTCAGAGTAATCTCTAAACTCAGTGATAATGTGACTGCTCACTGAGACATATCTAATTTAATATTGGAGTATTAGAGTGACTAGTAGGAATTTTCTGCTCTCATTAAAAAATAGATGTCATAGACATATGGTACAACATAATAGCTCACGGCCATTATTGTGATAGTTTATATTTGCAAATGTAAAGAGTCATAAAAAGGAATACAAATGAGAAAATCAGTTTAGACTATAAAGATAAAAGAAAAGAAAACTGATATAACATTACACATAAGTACATTGTATGAATACTTTCCTTTGAATGACATTGGTTCTACTCGAGATTGTTTACAATTCCTAGGGGTTTTCACCAAGTCAGAGTCAAGCGCCAAATGCTATGATTTTGGCAAACACTGGGCACTTTCACGTATTCAAATCATTTCCTAGTCTCACCAGCGACTGTTCTGGACAACCCAAATCCATTCTCAGCTAAAATTCAACATCAGACTACGTGGCATTCAAGTATACGCGAGATAGTCGTGAACATCTTATTTAGTAGTACATTTTTCTTATTATAGCTTGACTCTACACAGTATTTTTGATACAAGTATGGAATTTCCAGCATGTCATATGGGTAGCTCAAATTTAGCAGGCCGACCATTGATATCGGGCTAGTGTCGGCCGGGGATCAAACCCCGGACCATGTGCATGGTCGGCGAGATTCCTAACTGCTGTGCCAATGACCCAACGTGACAATGCGTGATGAAGCATACACCCTTTTCAGTAAACAGATTTTCAAAACAAATACTTATTTTAGTGAAAAATACGAGAATTGCTGACTGACTTCAGTTAAAAAATATAACTGCTAAAGTTTGGACCAAGAAGAAGACTCTGAAAGGTCTGGAATTCGTGAGCCATTTATGGCTAAGGTGTGCATACAAAACCCGAGAATTTGACAAAAGAAGCAGTAGGCTAAGACAGGACTTAAAGTGAACACAGAGAAGACTCAGGTGATGGAGATAACCCTCTACCAATAACAACAAGCGGCATCAGACGCTATCAACGGAAGAAATCTGAAAGAGATCACTTCCTTCACTTATATCTGTGAAAATCAAGATGACCATCAAAAGCTTATGAAACCTAAAATGTTAAATAGTATGTTTATGGGGTTAATTAATATGTAGCCACCATGCGAAGAGGTTTCTTCCTTCAAGACTTCAAACTGCTAGGGTATAAGATTATTCAAAAGAAACTTCACATCTGAATCCAAAACCAAAATTTCATCAATATTTTTGGAGTATTTGGCTAGAGGTTTATAAATATCTCTGTATAACAATCCTCGAAGCTCCCACCCATTTAAAGAAGACAATTACGCTTAAATTTTTCAAAGATTTTCATTCACACACTTAGCTGAACTTTTGAAAATGTCCTTATAGACCGATATGGGCAACCAAATTAATTCAAGTATTGGTTTGTTGGGATTTGGTTAATTGGTTATGGGATTTCATCATGAGCTGAAATCGGTTAGAGAACCATTAGAAAACCTGGGAGCACTGGATGGCTACTTCGTCCCAGTTTGGGACTCTTCATAAGTACGCACCCACACTGCTCGGTTCGATCCCAGGACCTACTGGTCGCGAGGTAAGCTGGTAAACCATTAGGCCACTGGGACACGATCCAATGGCCCATGCTGTAGAGTCCCAAACCAGGACGAAACAGCTGTTCAGTACTCCCTGAAGGTTTTCCAACGGCTCCCTGACCGATGTCAGCTCATGATGAAATCCTGACACTAATTAATTACTGAATCACATTGCATGATTGTGTAATTATAGATAAAAAATTTCTTTACAGTTAATGAGTAGTGTAACTAATGATCATTTCGGTTTTCTGCAGACGTACTTTTATTTTTATATAAAACATAACAACCTGGACCGACACAAAAGCCTTGGAGGATTTGGATTTCGCCGATGATATATGTCTGATTTCCCACAAACTGGAAGATATGCAAGTGAAAAGCAACAAATTGGCAGAAGAAGCAGCAAAGATAGGACTTCAAGTGAACATAGACAAAACAGAGGTAATGAAGATTCCTGGCCAACATCAACAGCAACAACCGACAACAATCAGCATAAATGGGAGGAACCTGAAGGAAACAACTTCTTTCACCTACTTGGGAAGCATCGTCTCAACTACAGGAGGAACTGACGAGGATATCAAAGCCAGAATCGGAAAAGCAAGACAAGTTTTCATTTCTCTCAAGTCTATGTGGAGGTCAACAGCATTCAGCGTCAAAAATAAGATCCGTATTTTCAACTCCAATGTGAAGTCAGTACTACTATACGGATCAGAGACTTGGCGTGTCACAAAGAGCAGCTCAAACAAGCTACAGACCTTCATTAACAAATGCCTTCGCTCAATACTCAAGATCAAATGGCCGGAGAGGATCAGCAACAAAGATCTCTGGGAGCGAACCAACCAGGAACCGATCGTGAAACAAATAGGCAGGAAGAAATGGAGATGGATTGGACACACTCTGAGGAAACCAGCAAGTGACATCACTAGACAAGCCCTCGAGTGGAACCCGAAAGGGAAGCGACGAGTTGGTCGTCCAAGGGTGACCTGGAGGAGATCATGTGAAGAGGAATTGAAAGCGTGTGGGCAGACTTGGAGCCAGGTAAAAACTACAGCAGAGAACCGAAGGCAATGGAGACGCATGGCTGAAGCCCTATGTTCCTCTAGGAATTAAAGGAAAAAATAATAATAATAACAACCTGGCTGACAATCAAGCAATCTCCTAAACTGTCAATGTTTTTTAAGTAAATTTTTTACTCTTATCTGTATTTAATTGGTGGTTGGTAACTAGCAGTGGAATCCACGATGCGCATTTCGTCCTATTTGGGACTCGTCATCTGGATGTACCTGCATTTCTCAGTGAGTGATGATGTTCCCACCAAGGCTGGAACCCAGTGTCCATAGTTTCCAACGCCAAAGCGTTATCCACTAGACCACTTGGGCCACGAGAGCCACCTCTTGTGCAACGGGTCATATTGATTTAATTGAATTTTAGATTTTTCCCGTCGATTGATTGGACCGAAGTGCTCGGTCTCAGGTTGACATGTCGGCTTCCACCAATTAAATACTAATTAAATGCCCAGACATCGTCGAAGCATCTGCTCAAGAAGCCGACATGTCAACCTGAGACCGAGCACTTCGGTCCAATCAATCGACAGGAAAAATCTAAAATTCAATTAAATACTCTTATCTGTGTTTGTAAATTTTCGTCTAAAAATATAAGATGTTGCCCGGAAACATAAATAGCAGTCAATTTGAGATTCCTTCCTTCACTAAAAGTCACTTAATAAAGCCATCAACCGATTTTAATTAGTAGGAGGTTTGTTAAGAAATAACGATTTCTTATCGTTTGCATTATACAACTTCTCACCTTAACAATAAAGTCATCTAAGAAAAGTCAACCGACAAAGAGACTCACTTGCATTCATACGATGTTAATGTATGCTTGATCACAGAATAATATTCATTAGTATTTGCAGATAATCGTCTCGATTGATTTTGTAGAGCTAGAACAACTTCTCTGATTGTTTCATTTCTATGCACTGCACATTGTTCAGCTAACTTTTCTTGTTGTTTTAAACATTTGTATTGATGTTCGCGTAAAACTAAAAATCCAAATAAAAAGTGTTTACAGTTTGCTGATGAATGGGTGAAGAAAGATGACTTTTTTTCCTTTGTATTCAAGGAAGTTCCTTATTATTATCATCATCATCTTGAAAACTAGTTATTACCTACTCTATAAATGTGAAAGTATAAGAGTCTACGGTTAGAATGTATTCAACTAAGAAGTATACTTATTTATTAGACAGATTAAGTGGGCTGGCTTGTATTTTTATCGAGCTGAAGTCTTTATTTTCTCCAACTCAGACAGTTTAGGTAAATTTGATGTTACTTTATACGGTTGGTTAACTCCTTTCTCTTGAATAACTTTCACTAACTTTACGTCTGTATGGTTGATTACCTTATACCCACTTTGAAGAGATAAATGTACATATACCATCAACTTAGATAATTGACTTTTTCTGTTAATACTAAAACTAATCACATAAATTGTTTGACTTACTCATACTTGACTAGTATTCAAGAGAAACAATTGAACAGTGATAGAATACTATGTGAAGTACATAAGGGCCTGATGGAATTATCTTTTATTCGACTGGTTAGTAAACTATCTTTCAGCTGAGTTTATATTTCCTCAGTCTTTTGTTTGATAATTTATAAGTTGGATCACGGGCTGAAATAAGTTAGAAAACCATCAGTAGCACTTACTCACACAGAGGTTCGAACACAGAACCTTCTGGTTATAAGACGTGCTCACTTCAAATTGAAGTATACACTGAAGATGTCGCCTAGTAGGGCGATGAAAGCTTCGCAAATTAACTATCCAGCTCATAGAATACAACCACATCAAAATCATTCACCTGAGCTACAAATCTTCTCTATCATACTTAAGAGAATATTTACTCGCGTAAGACATTGACTGGTGGTTGCGTTAAATGTCGCGAATCGGCAGAAGTAGGAATTTGTGGGACATTGGATCGGGTCCCAGTGTCTGAATAGTCTAGAAACTCAACTTGTATCCATACAGTACTTGGTTCAAGCCCTCATGGGTTCATTCCTCTGAAGAGTGGAAAACTAGGATGAAACAGTTGTCCAATACTCCCTGGTTTTCAAGTGGTTCTCTAACCAATGTCATTTCTTTATCAAACCGGTAACCAGTTAAGTCCCTGCAAACCAACACTTTACGGTTTTTAGTTGATGACTTGTGTATTTCATCTGAATTAACATATTAATTTATTTCATTGGAAATGCTGATTATTATAAAGAGGAATTTTTAACTATAAAAGTGACTGGTCAGAGGTATGAACTCAGTTAAACTACGTAATATAATGGACGTGATGCTGCTGCACATTATAAAGTGGGACCATAGTCTCTCTACATTCCTAAAGGTAATTATTCAGGTAGTATCAATCCAGATATGCTGATTATTTTCAGAGTTACTCTAATTTTGTCATCCAGCTTAGTATGAAAATCTTCCGAATGGAAACAACTCAAATAACCTGTGAATAAGATATCAACAAGTGCTTAAAATATACTCCATTATTAATGAATTTTTACAAAAATGAAACAGACGTGTTGGTTTATACTTGCTAATGTTGATTTGTCTGGTTTCGGCCTCAAAATCCCAGATGTAACAATGGTTGACACAATCAGTTTTATTTTACTAAGCACTAATTAACCATAATATTAATTTCATGCATGATGAATTTTAATTTCTATACAGCGAATAATGAAAATGCTTGCGAAAACGTAAACTTTGTAAAAACGTCTACAGGTTTAAAAGTTATGATACTTCCACTACACTATTATTAGACCTTATGATTTAGTTTGTGGTGAGATATAAACATATGTGCACAGGTTATTTGTTCAATACTTGTCCTTGTTTTTCTTTTATGTTTCACCAAAGATTCAAAATTTCACTACGTGTAAAAGTCGCTGCAACTACAGAGTTTACTCATGCTATTCAGTTCCAATAAATATTGAGTGATAGAGAAGACTTGTAGCGCAAATTAACTATCCAGCTCGGAGAACACAACCATACCAAAATGTAGAGTCTCTGGTATTCATATACTTCCCTATATTAGTAATGTATTTATTTGATGTAGAACAATCATTTTAACTATAATGAATGAATGAAAAACAAAACGATATTGTTTCTACTGACGTTTCGCAATTTAATGCTTCTAATAGCTTTATCAAAGTTTTAAAAAACCGGAATTTACAAAATCTCAGCATATATATAACAAAGAGTTAAGAGGTGAGAAAATAGACTTAGGTCAAGTTAAAAGGACATATTGAAAGTCAAAATAACAATGAAGATCACTAAACCAAATAACAAGGGTAACAGTACATCTGTTATGGTATCAAAACAAAGTTTACTAACTTGTTCATCGTTCGTTAGACTGATAACGCATGAGACAGAAAAAGAAGAAGAAATATCAAACATTACTGAAACTCTTAAGTAAAACAACTACCCGAAGAACTTCATCAACAAAATCCATACAGACATTAAGTATGGCCAAAAATGCATTCCGAAAACATGGACCTCAACAGTCGTCATCCCATATAGAGCAGAGACATCAGATGATATCAGAAGAGTACTCAATCAGCTCGATATTAGAGTTTTCTTTAAAACATCAGACACACTACGAAGCAACTTTGTCCATATAAAAGACCAAATCCCTAAAGATTCTCCATCTAATTGTGTCTATAAAATAAAATGCTTGGAATGTGATGCGATACACATCGGACAAACATCTCGAGAAATCAAAATTAGAAGTAATGAACACCGTAGAGTATCTGTTCGACCACCAAGAAATCTAACTGAACTGGAAAAACTTGAAAAGTCATCAGCCATAGGTCTACATGCTATAGAATCAGGTCACAAAATTTATTTTGACAATATTCAAATAATCCAGAAAAACTTCAGAAATCATAAAGAACGTCTAATATCATCAGAAGCACTTCATATCAAGTGGAATCCAAATTTCCTGAATAGGAATGATGGACTAAAACAGAATCTAATCTGGTTACAACACCTCCCTCCCCCATGAAGTGACAAAATCAACACGAACGTGATATGCAAGTTCACTGTGTAAACACACACTGTTTTTATAATTTTAAACACTGATCAAATCCAACAAACTACACTTGGTTTTGTTATCTTTACCAGTTGACCAACTTGACAACAAAAACTGCACCCAGTCTAACGAACGATGTTCAAGTTAGTAAACTTTGTTTTGATACCATAACAGATTTACTGTTACCCTTGTTATTTGGTTTAGTGATCTTCATTGTTATTTTGACTTTCAATATGTCCTTTTAACTTGACCTAAGTCTATTTTCTCACCTCTTAACTCTTTGTTATATATATGCTGAGATTTTGTAAATTCCGGTTTTTTAAAACTTTGATAAAGCTATTAGAAGCATTAAATTGCGAAACGTCAGTAGAAACAATATCGTTTTGTTTTTCATTCATTTGGAAATACGAAAACCTTTATTATAATGAATATCATATACCCAATGCCCAAATTTTTTAAACTGTTATGAGTGAACTTAATTTGGACAGATATAAATCACTTTAGCTGTTTACAAGATGTAACAATAAGATCTGTTAGTATATATAACAAACCTTTCTGTCAGGCAGCACTGGAACCACTGGGCTAACTAAATTTCTATCCATGATAATTCACATTTACTTTTCTCACTTCCTCGTTGTTTCAATCTTCCAGTTGTGTCTTTAGATGGGTAAATGAACTCTTAAATTTTTAAGTGGCTTTCAGTCCACCACTGTGCTTTTCAAGAAGAAAAATGAAGGAAAACTGTTGTTGGGGATTGTCTCGTTTCATATAGAATGATACTGTGTCATACGATAAACAATCGATAAATACTTAATTGAAGATCTATGTGGGGAGTAAATATTTCGCAGTAAATTACGCTGAGAATTCCGTATTGTGTAGGTAACCATACTTTTCAGAATCAAGCTAATATGGCTATTGAAGTGTTTGAGAAGCTAATTCTATAAATAGAGTGGGAGAACTCATAATTAAAATCTGACTAATTTGTTGTGCATTGGGCGTGAAATTGTCATTGAGTCAGAAAAAGGCTAATTTACAGAACCTACACAGTTCATTGGTGGGATACACACGAAAAATGTACGTGGGCTGGGATTGGTTCACGGTTGACGTATTCCTAAGCCTCATCTAGGTGGTAGTGAGTCTGGAAAAGAAGAAAGGTTGGGTGTCACACTAACTACTGCACCCAGTAAAGCAACACCATCATCCCTACTGAGACTTTTAAGCCCAAAACTTGAAGTTTTATGTGACGCTTGGAATACAAAGTCTGAGAAAAAATAACCTGGCAAAAAAATGTTGTTTTCGAAATTAAAATATCAAACTAACTCTCCATAGTATAACAAGATAGTTTCATACATTTCATTCTGAAAGATATTTTAATGACTTTCAATAGAACCAATATGGCAACAACTAGATGCTTACTTCTTAAATTGTGTTCATGGCATATATATGCAGCAGCTTTTTCAAATTTTCTTGTGTCCAATGAGATTGACCAAATAATTTGTCGAAACTTCTCTTCATCGGAATGATTACATGACTCTTCAGCTCTTTTTCTCATACAGTGAAATACTAAAATATGCCATCGTGTACTAAATGAAATGATGTGTACAAAAATGAAAGAAAAAAAAGGAAAATTCAAGTAAGTTTATCAGTGAATATTACAGATAAGGGAGATGAATAAGCGAAAGTTAAAATCACCTGGAATATCTGTAGATCAGACAGGAGTAGTTGTGCTAGGCATCGTTCCCCTTTAAACTATCCGCCATCTTATGTTTACAGAGCCGACTGTATTAGAATAGTTGCGTGAATATATATATTTAGGCAAGACTATTAGAATGCTTCAGTGTTGTAGGAGTGAACATTTTCCCAGGCGGTTATTAAATCAAATTGGAAATTCAAATAGAAGACAATATAAACGAGTGTTTCTCAATTATTTCACATAATTCTTATTCAAAGTTATTAACTCTGATGGTAACACACTGGGTTATTCACATGCAGTGTAAAGAAAACAGAGCTTGTCCCTGACTGAGTTTTTAGGTTTAAATGCCACTCGAATTCCTGCTTTATTAAGAATCCTACGTAGGGTCTCAGATGTCCCCTCCTTATATGTTAAGAAGGTCCATAAGGTTCATATAAGGAGGGGACATCTGAGACCCTACTTAGGATTCTTGATAAAGCAGGAATTAAGGTGGCATTCAAATCTACAAACTCACTCAGGTAGAACAAGCTCTATTGGCTAGAGGATCCTGCCGGTGGACTCAATCAGACAAAATAATTTTATTTATAAAATATCTTACAATGACTGTTAGTTAAGTCAACTACGTACGTCAAACTAGTAGATCTGGGTTAGTCGGATTATCATAACGTAAGAATTTAGCAAAGGTTAGAATGATTGACCCCACGAAAATAAGTAGTTTAGAAAAACGCTCAGCAATAGCACTGCATGAATTAACACACAACCACATAATAGGGTGGGAGAGGGTTAAAATTCCACAAAGTAATATAGGTAGGTGGAGAAAGAAGTTAATAAGTGAATATGTGTTCACAGAATTTACACCCAACACGTGCAGTAGGAATGATTAAACTGTAAGGGAAAATTTAAACAACTAGAATGGCAAAGAACATTTATTATTATGCAATGTGGCAACTTTGAAGACGGACTTATATATCCTCCTAACTTTACAAATATAAGAAGGTAGACTGCACGCTAGCGTTTATAAAAAACCAACGCATTCCAATAGATATTCAGACTTTAATTCATCTCTCCGGTTAACTGTTAAGGCAGGCTTAGAAAAGTGTCTAACAAACCGAGCAGTAGAACTAAGTAGCACAAGAACAGACCTAAATGATGAAATAAAACAGATAGAAGAAACGTTGATGTCAAAAAACTATCCCATAAAATTCATTGGGAAGATCAGAAAAGGTCAAAAGCAAAATAAAAATAATGGGGAATCTAATAATGATAACATAAAAAAGAGAGAATATAAGGCTTCTACAGTTCTACCATATAAGTAAGGGACATCTGAGACTCTACGTAGGTTTCTTAACAGAGCAAGAATTAGAGTGGCATTCGGACCTACAAACCAACTCAGAGACAAGCTCTGTAGGCTAAAGGATCCAGTTGACCCAATTAGACAAAATAATATAATTTACAAAATACATTGCATTGACTGTGAGCTAAGTCAACTACATGGGTCAAACTAGTAGGTCGGTGGTAGTTAGATTGTGGGAACATAAGAATTTAGCTAAGGTAAGAATGGTTTACCCCGAGAAGATAAGTAATTTAGAAAAAATTCTGCAGTCGCACTGCATGCATTAACACACAACCACATTATAGGCTGGGAGAGGGTTAAAATTCTAAGAAGTAATATAGATAGGTGGAGAGAGAGAGACTGATTACTGAATCCTTGTTCATAGAATCTATACCCAACACGTGCAATTGTAATAACTCATTACTCATACCAGAAATATGGAAAATACTGCTACCAATCAAATCAAGCGATGGAAAGTGATGGAATTATATAAACGAATTTGGAAAGTTGTGTGAGTACCTTGATATGATTATGAGCAGTAATAAATTGTGATCAAAACGTGTTCATTAGTAAATATTATTGTAAACCATTATGAGACTTTATCAAAATAAATTTTACCCATAATGGAATAATTACATCTTCAAGTGAAACAAAAGTAGGCTAACTGTAATGCGTACTCTCATATTCCATCAATTATTAAGTGCAGAATGCTTTAGTTCCTTTAAAACTGAATAGCACAGTTGTAAATTAGATTATCCTATGTAGAATTTTGATTAGTGAAATTGAATGAAGTTCACAACTAAGAGATATTATCGCAATTAGCACAAATGATAAGCACATATTACCATTAAACGGCAAGAAGCCATATCTGACCTAGGTTTCGTGCTAGTTGGCACTCGACAGTCATCAAGGCGTATCTGCAGCCTTGAAGGAACTCATGTCCCCTCTGAGATTCAAACCCGTGTCCCCCGGTGCAATGCTGCCTTCAGAGACGTTATCACTGAGCTATTCAGGCTCGTGACTGACCTCCTGTAGGACTGTATTGGATACTTTGAGTGGACACTAGACACATCATACTAGTTAATAGTGTCCAGTCAACAAATTACCATTCTTCTTCAGAAGCAGTCGTATTAGTATACTTCTATCGTCAAGTCTCAAATATTTAAATATCTGAATCACTGTCACACACCATAGTTCATTCGTACGTAAGTAGTTGTAAAATCTTTCTTTACTGAATAATCTAAAGGCTTTTGGGAGGTAAATATTCTGAGAATACTGGTTGGAATAGAAGGCGCACAGCTGCCTCATTCATTTTGTAAGTAAATTACCAATCCTGACCAAGATTTCTAGCGTTACAAACTTTTTTCTTTAGAATATTTGGTTTACAGTCGACGACTGCATGAAAATCCTTGTTCAGTCATGATAGTCGTAAGTTACTTTCCTTCGCATAAATAATTTTTAATGAGGAATTGATAAATGTGAAAAAGAGGAAATACAGTCTGCAGGGAAACTGTGACATCCAAAATAAAAAGGACTGCTAATTACGCAGTAGTAGATCTGTTGTTGACTAACCAAAAAATTTTTCGTTGATTATTCAAACTCATCCAGACAAGATATTTGTGATATTTTTTCTGTGGTAGTTTTTTCTTCACATTTGTAATTTTCAAGAAACATAAATTAAGCTGTCATACTGCATTTCGAGGCACGCTTTCATGAAGGAAAGATTTGTCTTAAAAGCTTTTGGAGACACATTTTTCATAAACACACACACACATACACACTAAAAACAGTAAAAACTCTGCATAAACGTTTATTCTTTATTTCCAATTAATGATTGTAATGAGGAAAATCGTTAGCATAATTTACTAATTTGCATTCAGCGTTAACATTATCTATTTGTAAAGTGTTATTAAACTGTATGAAAAAAAGAACTGTACCCTTGGAAATAAGATGGTGTCTGTTCTCAACAAATCACTATAGTCTGGTTTATTTCGAATACAAATTCCTTCATGACTATTGCTGACGACTACTAACAAGCACAAGACCTAGGTCTAAGGCTTCCTGCCGATTACCTCCAAACATCTACTAACAGCAATCCACAGTGCACCATGATAGTGGTATGGTGGTCACATTGCAAACTTGACTTATAGAATTCAGTATGCAGTGAATAAAGGACTGGACACATGGAAATAGTTGCCCACTGCCTAATGTCCAATCAGAGAGAGAATGACTATATGTAACTGCAGGAACCACATGACTGGAAGTATATGTCGAAAGTATTAAACTAAATGAGTTTATCTTATGAATATTCGCACATTATCTGGAACTAATACAAGGAAAATAAAGTAGATTTTGCTAAAATTAAGGCTTTGCACCCTTGCTGAATTCTGACTGAACATTTACGCAGATGTAAACAGATGCATTCAACATCATATTATGGAAGATTGCATATGAAGTTACATATGGTGAGATATACTACATGAAATCGCCGTGTGGACTACAGTTTAATGGGGCTTTAAAAACAGTTTGCCATGTAATCCCATGGTATATCATGTTTACACAATCTCAATGTAAGTTAAAGATAAATTTAGAAGTTGTGTTCCACTCATGGTATAGTAATACAGCTACCGAAATTCTGAGTTTATAATATTAAAACGTTTATATCTAACGGAGATCACCTTAAAAACTTTCGTATCCGTGATAGTAATCAAACTGTTAAGAAGGAATTTGAGCAATCTACAGTTTCAACACATAAGGAGAGGAGGTCAGAAACTCTACATGGGTTTCATAATAAAACAGATATTATAAATAAGTGCCGTAGGCTGAGCGACCCAGTCTAACCGACTGAACAAGATAATTTGATCTACAGAATACTTTGCAGTGACTACAAGGTCAATTATATAGATCTGGCTATTACCTCTGGGTCAGCTAGGTTACCGGAACGTAGGAATTTAGCTAAGTGAAGGTAGAACTGCTGACCTCAAGAAGTAGAACAATTTGGAGAAAAACTCAGCAATGACACAGTAGGTTAGGACAGAGTTACATTCATGAAAAATAATATAGGTGGGCGAAGGGTGAGGTTGATAACTGAATCTCTTCCCATCGAACTTATACCTAACACTCACAGCGTGGAAGACGCAACACCGAAATCAGAGATATAGGGAAATATGACTACCTATAAAAGCACAGGACAAGAAATGACAGAATTATATAAACAAAGTTTTAAAGTTATGTGAGTGACGTCTTATGATTATGAGCAATAAATTATGCTCGAAACGTCATCAGTAAATAATACTGCCTCACTGTGAGTCTCTTATCAAATAAAAGTATTGTATGGTGGAGTCATGTTCCACCATACTGCCCGAATTCTATTCGTATATCAGTGGAATAACTTGGGCAGCATGGGATGCTTTGACGAGATTTTACAATGAGCATAATTCACGATACTTCACCAGACTTCACTTGTGACACAAATTTCAGAGTAATCAAGATTTGCTAATGTTTATCCGATCCTGTCCGACCTTAACATCTTCACATATTCTGCCTGTAGTTGAAAC